TTAACCTTACTACTACTACTAGTAGTAGTATTAGTTACGTACGACGTACTTACTTTACGTTTACTTACTTTCTTCGTCTCCGTCTACTACTTTACGTTACGTTCTCTACTCTCTCTCTCTCTCTCTCTCTCTCTCTCTCTCTCGATCTCAAAAGTGGCTATGTGGAGTTCAAGGCAGTAAAAAAAAAAAATCTCTTTTTTTTTCTATTAATTCAATCTGATTTCACTTACAAGTGCCAAAAAAACATTGTTATAACTAAGAAACAAAACCCTAAATACAACCTAAGACCTTTTTACTCCCAAATTGAATAGCACAACCCAAGAATGAAATTCAAGCTTTCCCTAACAATTTTAATACAAATAATGCTATTGAAAATTCAAGAAACTATGCAAATACGACTGAAAAATAAAAGCTAGCATGTACCTAGGGCCACCCCCATAGAACTTACACACCCCAAACCATTTTCCTGACCAATGATGTACTTCAATCCAATTGGTCTTGCTGAATTATCAGAGTTGAGAAACTTCCTTAGGCAATACCTCTCAAACTAGGGTTTTAGATAGCATAAAACACAATTAGGGTTATTGGAAAGCCTTATGAACAATTAGGGCATGCCTTAAGGCACCCCCCTTTTTCTAGGGCTGGGAGTGCCCCTCTCTTTTCAAACCCTAACTAGGGTTAGGTTTGCCACCCCTTTTTTTCTTATGTGTGGCATGCCACCTAGAGAGAGCGAGTGGGGCATGGTGGAGAGAGAAAGTCAAGAGCAAGAGGGAGGCTAGGGCCTAAGGAATTGTGTAGAGAATGAAGGGGGGCCCCCCTCCTTATATAGGCCTCAAGCCCCTAATTATGCCTATCTAATTATAACTCACCATGACCAATAGGAGTTTAGGAAATTTGTGAGGAGAAATATCAAGAACCTTATTCTTTCAATATTTGACTTATTCCCACTTCTAATCTAATTGGGATTAGACCAATCCAAAAACCTTCTAGAACTTCCTGATTTATCTCTTTAAAAGATGTTCTAACTTAAAAACATATTTTAATTAAAATAAATTGTAAAACAAAAAAAGGAGAGGGGTCTGCCACCACTATGGGTGACATGGGCCCCACGACCCACCCATGGGATGTGGCATACATGTGGGGCTGGATTCAAGGACCCCACATGTGCCCCTACACACTACAATATTTTCAAAAATAACCTTTTAAAGGAATTCACAACAGAAATTGAAAGGTGGCTATGACAAGAATTCCGAGCTATAAATTCAAAAGAAATTCTTTTTTTCTTTTATTAATTGTTGGAAATTCTACCTAGAGGTGCCACCAATACAATAAACTCGACCTACTACAATCTAGGATCCTTATAAATAGAGAGCTAGACAACAGAAGTTTAGCGAGGGGCGTGGAGGACAATGAGAGAGATCAGAAATGTGAGGAATGAGGGGGAGAACCCCTTATTTATGGACCACTAGGGCCTAGGGCGTCCCAATCGAATTAGGAGTTCAACTTGAACTAAAATTATTTAGGTGATTTATGAGGTGAGAGAGAACTTTAATTTGATCCATTCATCTCCAAGATTAGCCTTCATAATCTAGAGTGAATTTGTAAGAACTTATCCCCTGAGATTTGACCCCTATCCACCTCTAATTCATTTAGAACTTTTGACTAATCAATTTTATCCTAGAACAATCCAAGATAAACTGGGAATCTTATCCTCTTACAAAGAGATAATTAGGACCTCTAATCAAATTATGACTTGATCAAAAAAATTCTAGATAATAAGAACGTCACTCAGATAATCTTAGCCAAAATATGTTCACTAAAAAAATATTTTATTACTTAAAAATTTATTTTGTTCTTTATTTTAAAACAAATCGCACATAAAGTAGGAGCCCCACTTAGTGGGACAAGTGGGCTCCACGTGATTTTCCCCATGTATGAGGTTGTGCCCTTCACCCCCCCATGTGAGTCCCACATACAATTTCAAAAAATACAGAAATACCCTCGTATTTTTAAAATTCCAGAAATAACCTTTTAGGGGTTTTCGGCCTTTAAAATTTGTTTTTAAATTTTAAAAATTTCCAAAAATTCATTGGAAGTTAGGAACACATTTTAAGTTGAAAAAAATATTTCTAGAGCTTCATAAAAATATAAAACACACAAAAATATAATTTAGAAGTAATAGGTACCTAATCGGTAAAACACAAATGAATATTAGGGTACTACCCGTGCCAGGCCCCATGATCCACTATTATCTTCTCAAACTAGACAAATGGGACTCATGATCCTCAATCAAGTGTAGGGGCTCATGACTAACCCATCAAAGTTAGCCAATATACAATAAAACCACAATCCCAATATGTGAACTACAGGTTTCCCCCTTAAGAGCAAGTCAAAATGCACACACAATACAAGGGGACGCTCTCTCTATGCATATATACACGTGTCCCTCTATATAAGGTTGCTTCCCAAAAATACAATCGTCATATGTACAATGTCATGCGGAAGTTTTGTTGATGATTTGATCCTCACTTTCACAGACCCTTCCTTCGCACACAAAAGACCACACAGCTCTCCTAGCCTACAAACGTCCTTTGGCATCTCTCCAACCTCAATAAGGGATGACCCACAATGAACCCTTAATGGGGGTGCCACATGCCTGGGGATAAGGATTTTGGCCATGACCCAGGTCATAGACTGCCCAACCCTATGTCAATCAGCCACAGTATACTCCTAATGAAGTGCACAAATCACTATAAAAGATTTTATATACAAGATCTCTAAGCCTTTAAAGGCCACAAACCCCAACAGAAATTAGTTTTAAAAATTCTAAAAAAAATTGCAAAAATATTTCTAATAATAAAATCTAAAAGTATGACTTGTACCAATAGGTCAAAATAAGTGACTATAAGGAAACTCCAGTCTCCACTCAACCCAGTAATCATGATCTACAACTATCTTCTCAAACCAACCTAATAAAACCCATGACCCATAGTCTCATATAGGGACTCGTGATTGGCTCCTTAAACCTAGCTAATAAATAGTACAACCACAGTCCCAGAATGTTGATTATAGTTCCCCCCTCCCCCCCCCCCCCCGCCCCTTAAGAGCAAGTCAAGCACAAGTTACTATATTGCAAAGGGGACTATCTCTGTGCACATGTACACATATCCCTTTTGAAGATTGTTTCTCAGTAATACGGTTGTCGTATGAACATGCCAAGCTGAAGTTTGTTGAGGATTTAACCCTCACTTTCACAGGCCTACATCCGCACACACAAGACCACACAGCTCTCCTGGCCTACAATCCATCTCTAGGTATCTCTCCGACCTCTGACCCTTGGTAAACCCTTTTCGGTGGTGCCATATGCCAGGTATAAGGGTTTTAGACATGACCAAGGCGATAGACCACCTAACCCTTGGTCAGTCAAACATCATACACTCCCACTAGACTGTATAATCCACTACAAATGTTAATCACATGCT